GTAAGGTCCAGTCTCTTCGTGACGGGATCGTAGTATGATATTTTTAAGCCATGTCGGAAAGCGGAAAAAAGTAGGTACTGTTGTTGTTTCATGTCATTCGTTCGATGAACTTATGTTAACAATGGTTGGTGTATCTTAATCACAGATCAAAGCCCTATCTCAGCCGCTGACCTAACAATCATCACAATTTTAGAGGAACTAGGTATGCATGATTCCGTTAATTGAGCTACCCAAAAACTGATGAACTGAATGCATCGCCTTGCACCCTAAATCGTGTGTTTTTGGGCTTTGGCTAGGGTGTGCAGCCACACATTTTAGATGCCTCTCGTCACTAATAGGTATTATTCTGGGTGTAACATTGACTCGTCGTGGGATATCGGCCTGATAGGGCGTGACCATTAAGCAATAGAACAACGCAGTACTTATAACCCACCCACGATTTTAGTATTCCCGGATTTCGATTACGTATTTGACTCATTTGACTGGTCTGTTCTCCCTGATTTACTCGCCCATTAAGGAATGTTCTAAAAGTTTGTGTAGACTTCCGAACTGATGAGAATATTTATAGAGCTTTAAAAAAACTTACGTACACAGAGGGGTCTTCGTCATGGGTGCCCACTTTCTCCATTCCTATTTAGCTTCGTGATGGGGCAGACCTTAGGAAGGTCTTCAAAACCCTAGTGTTAAGATGCCTGCTGATGAGAACCGTGTTCATCCGGAATATACAGACTTCATTGTTTTCATCTTCTAAGAGAAAGAATGGGGCAGGTATTTTTGGATGAACATTTGGCGTTTCACGTATCTTGGATGTTATGTCAGTTCCGATTGTAATTGATGATGATGATGATGTTCGTTTACTGATCTGTAGGGCTGGGGGCGCGTTCGTCACTCTGAAACAGCAATGACGGCAAAGCGGTGTATCCTTTCATCTCAAGGAGCGTGTGTATCAGGCTACAGTACGGGCTGTTTCGTTGCACGATCGTGAGACGGCCCGCTTATTCAGCAGAACTGAGGTGTATCAGGCTACAGTACGGCTGTTTCGTTGCACGATCGTGAGACGGCCCGCTTATTCAGCAGAACTGAGACTTTCAGGTGGAACACAACTTAGCTTCGGTAGTACTGTGCTAGCATGGTAAAATTTGAGTTGAGCGTGCTGGAAAGTGTTTGGCGTCAGCCATCACTCATATTTCAATCAGTGATGTCTTTCGGACAGATTTCAGAGCTTTGGTTTTTTGGTGAATCGGTTTCATCTTTTTCCACACTGGTAATTACCGAATGCTTTTGAGTTTACTTGCAATGTTTGGAGCCTTAAAGCCGAGGTCCCTAATGGGCTATTATTAAGGGACGTATATTTGTTCGCTTCCAGAAGGGAGCCTTTCGGAAAATAAAAAAAGGCATTTGAGAATTTCGACCATAAAAATGCATACAACTGGTGTGTTTCATCTACTTCAGGATCGTTCGAATGTTGCACATTTCATTTCATTACAATTAATCGCCTTAAACCATTGGCTGATGCCTGTACATGGTACGCAATCTACTGTTGGTTTAGTTTTTGCTGAAAATTCACCCCAGGTCCCTGATGCCCTCATTGACGGTTGTTACTGGCAATTAAGAGACTGGCATGGTTTTGGAACGCACGGTGTTACGACGCAACAGACGGTTCTCCACTCACCAGTGGATGTGCACATCGGCCGAGTATTTTCTCATGGAGTCTGTCATTCTTGGTTCAAAGTAGTACTTTTCGGAATGCAATAAAATTCATTTTAATGGGTTTTATATGACGTAATGACAGTGATTACTGCTTTCACTTCCAGGCAAGGAGTTGATGGGATTCGAGATGAAGCTAGGTTGGGGGAAAAGTGTCCCTATTCCCCTTTACCCTATTTACATCCCGCCTGCTCTTTTGGAGCTCATCAAGCCTCCTCCTCCAAGTGGATTGCCTTTCAATGCGCAGCCAAGAGACTGGTTGAAGTCCCTACGATCAGCTATTAAAGAGCGTGCGAAACTGGTTACCGATGGTGTCGACCCCGAAGCAACCAGACCCCCAGCAGCAGACCGAAAACCTTTTGATATTAACAAAATGTCGGAAAATGAACTTGGAGAGGTGCGTTTTTCCCCCTTTTTGATTGGAGAGTAGTGGTGTTAAATGCTGCACCATAGATTTCTTTTCGGTTCTGTCAGTGATGAAGACAAGCGTTTCAGGATCATTGGAGGGATGCCTCGTTAGTCATTGTCCTTGTTAATCACAATTTAGAGCGCACCTGGATAGATTTAAATGGCTTTTTTGACCGTAGCTAATGTCTGGAAAACCTTGAAGTTTCACAAGCTAAGCTGGTGTACTTGACTCGGAGAGGAGATTACATGCCCATCAAGCCCTTTTAGTAATAAGGCGAATTCATCTTTCAGGAAAAGGAATATAACGTCGTACTGCTGAACTGTTTCCGTCCTGGTGATGCTAGTTTTAGCTCGGCCTTTTGGGATCTGAAAACAGGGCCTCGGCAAAAGTAGTGATTATGTTAATGATGCTTATTTTAATTCGAGGGCGGTGGATCCCTATTTTCAATTTATTCGTGCAATTTTGCACTCATCTGTAAATGTTTTTACTTATCTTGCTGGACAGTATTAAACTTTTTCGCACCTCGTAGGGCTGTTTCAGGGACCAACGGCGATATGATTATGGTATTCGGACGACCACTTTTCCCCGAGTATAGTGCAAGTTTGCGTACAGAGGCGCAGGGACACTTCACACTGATCTTATTTCTCCTGGACACCGGGCTATCATGATCATGGTCATCAATCATCATAATCATTACCAGACCATGCTGCCAGCACTTCGCCATCCCTTTCCGTCGTGCGACGGTTCAATTTTTAATTTTTTGTTTTTCAGTCGTTTCGGGGCTTGGTGCTCTTCTGTCTGGTCGTGTGTATGAATATCACTGAGGACTAGCAATATGGCGATGTCTGTGTAAAAAATATAAGGTGGTCACAATTCCGATTTGAGAGATCATCCGGCTCGGGATTTCATGCTACCTAGCTGCTAAGCGACACCCAGAGGGAGAGAGGGAAAGAAAAAGAAAGAAAGAAAGATTAGTGGCCGCATTGCCGTCAAGTTACCCAAGCGTAGTCGCTAGTGATGGATTAGTCGCGGGTGGACTATAACCACTAACCACCCAGTCAGAAATGCTCACCTTCCACACTCCTGTTGACCGTTGTCCTACGAAAGGTGTCGTAATTCCATAGACTTCGTACTTGTCGGTTTTAAGTCGCATCTATTTCTGCTCCCTGTCTGTTATTAAGATTTCCTCACCCCCACTCACGCTTGTCGTGAGTTTATCGGTTGTGTAGCAATCGTAAACGGGGTAGTGGAGCTTTTCGGGTCCTCCTGACGTCAGTACACATCGAACAGTTCATGGTATTTTGAATTGCCTAAAAGTTTGATTTTTAATCTCGGTTCATTTCTCATTTTCACGTTCTGCTGGACCTTTCAATAATTTCCCACATTTTGCACATTTCTCGCTAATTTTGAAGGTCCTGAAGGACGCAATCGTAAAAGTGGTCATACCTAGTGACAGGTAAGCTCATCCCGAGGAGATTCGCTTATTTTCCGCTTAATTCTCTCCATCTGCAGGTCGATCCTTGCTTTAATTCATCGAATGATTGAGTTTGTCGTGCTAGAAGGACCTCAGTTCGAGGCTGCTATCATGCACCGGGAACAAAACAACCCACAGTTTAAGTATGAGTTTCTTTTCGTTCACGGGGTTTATATATTACCTAGGTTCCTTTTTGATTATCAGTCATCAGAACATACATACTACCGCTGGAAACTTTGGTCCGTTTTGCACGTAAGTGTCAGTATTTTCGTTTTGTGCACTGTGACCACACGGTCTGCTCTTAAGGTTATTTTTATGTCGCGGTCTGGGGAGATACCCTGGTAGGGTGTATCTCCTAATCTCCCATAAGTATCGCTTCCGTGGGTCACTTATTACATCCAAAGGTTTCTGTAGACGATCTGCAGGTAATGCTAGTGAATAATGTATCCATGAGCTTCCTGCCTCAGGCTTATCTATGGGTCATCCGTACGAAATCTCATGATTCATGGGAGAAGCGTATTTAAACATAACCCCCAATGGAAGGCACTTGTCTTCAGCTCCTCGAGGTTGGTCCTAGACGGGGACAACAGAGCACCACATTGTGATAGCATCTCGTGCAAGTGTATTTGCATGTATTGTCATGTTTCAGAAAAGTCAGGTTTACCTGTATGTTACATTGTCCGTTGAAGATGTTGGTAGGGATTCAGGATGTATGCATGGTTGTTTTGTTCACTTAACTGCAATGAAATTTCCGAGCCCAGCGATCAGCATAGAGACTAATCAGCTAAGTAATTGGGTCATATCTCTTTGTCCTGTTGCGTATAGGTCATGTTCCCCTTGTGGTGTTGAATTCCCTAGGTCTTATGTTTTTCCCCGCCCCACAGCAGTCCACGGATATTCTGCTCAGTTCGAACGTTGAATGGGGATGATAAAGCTGTGAAGCGTCACTGTAAGCAGTTTTTTTTAGCTCAGGACGATGGTACAATACCATCTCGTTTCCGGTTAGACAGCATGACATCAGTGTTCAACACCGATGCTTCACGTATTGCAGAGGTGGTCGTGTTCCGGGGGATTGAACTGTCTGTTAGGTACATTCAGTTTCCTGAGCGTTATGGTCGCACTCGATGTGTAGTTTCAGGATGATTCGCTAAACAGAGCGACTATTGGACTATCGACCTCTCGTCGAGATTTCTTTGGTTACTAAAATCTTGCAATTTCTCGGTATTTCGGGGGATTGATCTTCCTTTATCACTACAGAGAATTTATCTGCTTCAAGCCGAGTAGGAGGAAAATTATATACTTTTAACGGTACGACAACTTGGGGGACACATGGACGTATAGCCGTCGAAAGTGCTGGGATGCCAGCTGGCTCGTTTGAAAAGGTAGATGTGGAAAGCTACAAATCTAGATTCGTGCATCCCGTCACGAGCACGTTCCTCAGTCCGGCCACGAAAGTCGAGCTCATTGGATTTTGTGTTGCTTAAATTTGTTCTCTACTATGAGCGATCCTGGATATTCCGGCTACCAACCTCTTCACCCACGTTTGGCCGTCTCGAGCAGCTTCGGGAGGTTCGATATTCACGGTATGTTTTCATCTTCGATCCAGCGCACGACCAAAACGTAATCACGTATCTGTCAAAGTAGAGATATGTCTAACAGTCGGATTCCAACAGCCATTGGTCCGAATACTCTCAAAAAAGCCCTTGACGTGTTTGGTCTTTTTCAGCTTTATTGGCCCTCTTTCGCTCGCACGCGCTGGGTACGAACACTAGCCGTATATTTGCGCTCTTTCATTCGGTTCCTTTCTGGCGAAAACGGACCCATTATGTTACAAACGAAACTGTCTGTTCTTTATTTTCATTCTGCTTTTCTCCTCAAGACTTTATTTCTTCTGAACGTCTTCACCCATTCGTTAATCGCCCACGGAACCGCTGAAGTCTTATTAATCCGTTCGCGTCTTATTAGTTTGTAAATCATGCCATACTGGTCCTAAGCGGACAATGCATGAATTTATGTTTTCATGTGCTTACTTCGATAAAATCGACGCGCATACCCTGTACTCTGTACATTACCGAAGGGAGAAAGTGTTAACAATTGGCGGACCGACGAGTTTCGAATGTTTGAAAACGGTCCACTATGGCGACCCCCACCTATGAACCTGTTCTCAGGTGGTATGCCCGAAGATCTCGTTGAAGAAGACGATTATCCGTATGCACCCGGCTATGTGCCGCCACTTCAAGCCAGACGTCACGATGCTGAGTGAGTAGAGCTTAACCGTTTCTCGCTCTCGCGACCTCTATACACTAAATCAGTAATTCTGTTGAATTTTTTATGTATCTTTCCAGTTTAGTGCTGCTTCTACTAAACGCTTTTCATTTCAACACTGTAATTTTTTCGAGCTCACGTTTACTGTGTGAGGGAAACTACGCCCTCACTGCGTAGCTGCAATCCGTCTGAACTCTTACCGTCGTTGAAAGAAACCGGCAGCCATAAACATTGTGCTTTGGTATACGGATTATAGCTGCCTGACTGAACTAACTGTTATCGATTATGAGCTCGAGGTGACTCAGTCGTAAGGCCATGGTTCGATCTCAACCTCAGCACCTCGACTGCTTCTGTGTAGGCTTGGGCTATCTGGCGGTACCTAGGTCATCATGTTTCCTTCGAGTGGCACGACTGCTAGGCACTGGAAGGATGCTACAGCCGCACGATCATTAATACTTTCATAAAATTCAGGAAACGGAACCATCTTATACGAAGCCAGTTGAGTTAATGTGTAACCCAGCTGATGATTTCTCTACATTTATTGGTTACTTAGAATCTTCCTGTATACTTAAGACCAGTTATACTAAACCTTCCAGCTACAACTCCAATATTGCGCCAGTTCATTTTTAGATGAATTCCCTTTTTTATATCCGTCTCGCCAAGGTGTATTGGCGAACTTATTGATCCAGGTTTCTTGGCACCACTATCAGTTCACCATAGAACCACTGCGGTTTTGTAAGAATTGAAGTCATCGCTTCTGTCTTCCAGTAAATTTAAATTCGAGTACTTACTTTTCATCTAGTGGATTCGTTGTGTTCTGTGGTTGAAGCGAGTGCACATGTGAACGGTCAGGTATCGATTCTTAAATGAATTGTGTCAGTATACTCAAGGAGGATAAAGGCCTTAGATGCTAAGCAGAAAAAGTCTTGAGCTGGGTCGATTTTCAGCACAGCTTTTCCGGGTGGTAATGGTATCGTGAAAAACGACTAGCTACAGAAAACTAGCTAAACTTTAATCAGGGGGTTCAGTGCCATCATTTTCTTTTCGGCCGACAGGTGAGCATATAGGTTCGTGGTAAGTGTGTAGTCGCTGGCTCTGAATTTTACGGCGCAACATCTTGTGAGATTACATAACCGATTCGGTCTTTGACGACCAGCAATTGAACTGTCAAGGATCTCTAAGGATGCCAAGGAATTCGGGTTTTATCCGCTAGGTTAGTCAGCCGCTTTGCTAAATAATCACGCAGTCCACCCCGCATGGTTTTTCGTCTGTTAACTATATGTTCCACGACCACATGGCTCCGTAATAACCTAATAACGCTCCGCGGGCGATGCGGTGGGTTTCGTTCCTTCTGGTATCTTTGCTAGGCTTGACGAAGCTATGGCGCTTTCGAGACAGTGCGGTTTAACGGAAGCTCAACGAGGTCGGTTCACACAGATGTTGGTGGACTTGGAGCCGTCTCGCGCGAACGTCGGTGACGTGATGGTGTGGTGCTTGGAGCATGCGGATGCTGCATCAGATATCACAGATTGTGTGGTGGACGCGCTCTCATTCACCTCTTCGTTGGACCAATCGGAAGCCGCCTCATCACCGAAAAATGTCGTGTCTGGTATGCCTGATGAAAGCAAGACGAAGCCTCCTGTCTCTGTTTCAAAGGCTGTAGCTCGATTGTTCCTCATTTCTGATATTCTTCACAATTCCTCCGCGAAAGTACCGAATGCCTCTTACTTTCGCAAATGGTGAGTCCGATCTTCTCACACGCTTGTGTTTCTCGTGATTCGTTGGACAGACTGGGCTGCATCATTTAGAATAGTCGTGCAGTCGACGTAAGCCCATATATTCTATTTGACAATCCACCCAGCCCCCATGGCTACGAAACTTATTGCTTATTGCAGGCAGTAGTGTCGGAGGTCTTTAGAAGGTTTTAGATTTCGATGCGGCCTAACTTGGTAGTGAGAGAATGTTTGGTTTTAAATCCCACCTTCCATCGAACCGCCTTGGTGACACTGACCTCACTGATTTAGTTGTGTTGTCCAAAATGGCCAACCCTGCAGATGGGCACTGGTTTTCCTATCGCTATAACGTTGGTCTAAGCGTCCAAGTCACCACAGTGATGATCTATCTAATCTTACTCCTGGAACACTAGTTACTGGCTTTACTCTTTATGGTTGCTTCTGGCACCACTATAAATAAGGATAATTCACTCCATCTGAGTAACCACAGACACAATCCTTTGGGGAAACTGTGCAACTAATGGACATCGAAACGTGTTAACGTCGCTGAGGTTTTAAGGGACAGTCCATGTCATGGCCAAATCCTGTCTCCGTATGGGATGCAAAGGATTTCATTTGTATGCATTTCTGTGGAGGATTGCTTTTCACTTAAATTCCCGATTTGGTGACAGTTTTTTTTACCGATTCTTTTCCTACAGCTTTGAGAGGCGACTACCGGACGTGTTCTTAAACTTGCATGCCTTGTACGAAAGTGTGGACGGAAAACTGAAAGCTGAACAGCTTAAGGTAATCCTGATTAAATGCCTACGAATTTCGTTTCCAGCAAAAAGTGATGCTTTGTTTTCACGCCTGGGATGACTGGGCCATTTATCCGAACGACTATCTCATCAGACTGCAGAATATTTTCCTCGGATTGGTGAGCGAAGTAAGTTATACCTCTGCTTATTTTACCCGCCTGTATATCCCTATCTCAAAAATAATTTATCTAGCTCAAACACGTTTACCACTACTCATGCCGAACTTCGATTTCGCTGTGCCCATGTTCTCCGTCCTATGCCTAAGCCAGGATTCAAAGGTATCCGGCAGTTGATCCGCGATTTGTACTGTTCGTTTCGTGTGCATCTTTTGCTCAGTTCTGTTAAGTGCTCTATATTTAACCTTGATTGGTTTGGTAGTGAAGCCAAATTCACCTGAGGGGTTCATTTTTCTGCTCTATTCGTGGTTGGGTTGTTCAACACTGCACTGCGAGATGTAGTTCTAAATACACTAGCCAACAAATGTTCTGGAAGCATTTGTGACAAACGGCAACTCATACTTGGCATAATGCACTGCTCGGTAATTAAGATAGATTGACGATCAATTACTTTTTCCTCCCTGTTTGAGGCTGATAACTGCTCAGCGCAGACTTTGAGCTGCTTGGTAACAAACTGGATGAAGGTATCGAGATAGCACTTATCATCCCAAACTGGAAATCGAGTCTACTAACTCCTGGGAAACCGGCCAACCATTGATTACGGTTTGCTGTATCGGATGAAGCTTTTATTTATGGAGGAGAACACACTGTCTGCAGCCCAACAAGCGACATCCTACGATCCTAGCGATTTGAGCAAGGGTTCCACAGTCCATCTTGGGGCGACTACCCATTTTCCCCTAAAAATAGCCTCGAAAACATTATGCCACAGGAGCCTTGAGACTGATAATGAATGAATAATTGAGATGTAACGAAATCTAGCAAAGTGCATAGTTGCCACTTTACTGTTGCGTTGATTTAGACAGCAGCAAAGACGGCAGCGAAGCATCCGAGTTGAACACTGATGTCATACTATCGATGTTGATGATGATGATTCAGACATCGATTCTTTATTCCGCCCAGATTGACGACGAGTCCGACCTTGCTGGTGTTCCGCTCGAGCTAGAGGGGGCTGCGGTTATTGACGCTTCCAGCAAATCCTTACCGACGCTGGATCCAGATGTTGAAATGCTCCAAGGCCAGCCACTCGTCCAATATGATGGTGATCCGTTAGACGTGGACGGTAGTCCCCTGGACGATACGGACCAGGAAGATAAACCTATTGCGAAAAAGTATGTCTTACAGTGTAGACTGTTTCGAAATCTTGTTAGCAACCAGTATTTCACCTCTGACGTTGATGAGCTTTCCACACTGTTGCACCGGTGATTAACTTAGCGATCCTTGATGATTAGCCTATCTAGCTTCAACGGAAAACTTAATTTTCCACCATCATTCTTCGGAGAAGTAGGAGACAGTTAATTATACCATGATGTGTGTGATGCTTTACATTTGCTTTCTTACTTTCATTGGAATCATTTTTCGTGTTGACTGGATTTTACCCACCTAATAATCTTCGTTTGTTCGATTGTGCATCTGGCATCACATGTTTGTGTCACTTTGAACCCATTCAGTGTATCTACGAATTCCGTCTGGAATTGCACACCGATCCTGAAGATTGAACTTCAGAGGGTGAAGTTATTATTATCCTCAGAACACCTGGTGTCGCTTGGAATGGATCATATTCCATTATACGGTTTTTGAGTTTTCCCGTGTGTGCTACTTTGGATAGCAGCTATGCCATCTATTCTGTGCGCAGCTGCACGAAGGAACCGCGAAGGTGGAATCATTACTGGATTTTCCAAGGTTGTGCCTTCTTGGTCACTTGCCTCGTATTTCAGTTGACCGACTCATTCGAAGAGTCCTTTTCGTACAACCATAAAAAAGGTCGAAACGAACCAGGGGAGGTCAAACAATGGCTTGGTAACAAAGTGTGAAACTCCGCTGCGCTGGTCATTGCCGTCTTTCTGGACGGGACATATTAATGGTTAGGGGCATGGCCCACTCGCACGCTCATGTATCCAAGCTAAACGATTTTTCATGGGAATTACACACTGAACCTGCTCGCCTTATTAACACTATCGGTCATTCTAAACAAGATAGATCTGCGTCCGGTTTGACACCAACCAGAGATCTAGTTGCTTCCCGGAGGTGACGTCATCTCTGACTCGGGTTTGGACTGCAAATCTTCCCCCGAAGCCTGTCTTCGGGTGTGCGTGCACCTGACTAGTTCGAATCACTGTGATTGGTGTTGCTGGATATTCACGACTCTTTTAGGTATGCTATGGGATGATTATCAGATGGCTTTATTGGAAATTCGGTTGGCCCATCCTGTTTTACTTGTAATACGTAACACCATTAGTTTTCGTCGTTGTAGTTTTTGCATCCTCGTTCGGTCAAGATCAGCTCTTACAAAAGAACAGCAGTGTTTCGAAGAAGGCAAAGTATTACGCTACCCCGATGGGGGAATGCGCGAACGCATAATGTCAGAGAAATCGAACTGGTGGGGGACTATTTTGCCTTATTTCCTGTTTCAAACATCGGGATAATCTCCCAAATTGAGGATCGATGTCCAAACTGACGTGCTTGAGTGGCTTAGAAGGAAGTTGTTACGTTTATACTGATTGGGATGCGCCCGCACCTGACCAGTTAAACAACTGGGCCTTAATGACAGGACGTGGAACATACGTTAACACGTTTAGTTTATTCCAAAGCAGCTCACATTGAAATGTAGAGGCTATTCCGGTTCAACCTGAACCTGAACATTTTACTGAGGGGTGTCGGTCTCCAAGGATAAAAGACTTCTGACCTTAGTACGCCATCACTACTCGTAAACGTTATCTTTGCTTGTTTGGTGCTCTGATTGCAAGCGTTTCTTTAGCAACATACAGGTAAGTAGAGTGAATACTTTTATGATGGATTGCGAAGCGCAAAAGATAAGTACGAAGGATTAGGATCCACCTGGTTATCCACCCACGGATGTCCAAGGTAGCAGAAAGTATAAGATATGCGACCAACTGGAGTCGAGCAGCACGGTTATTTCTAGGATCATATCATCTTGAAGTTTTTCATACTACTGGTTCTTGACAGGCCTAAAGAAAGCGTCATTAATGAACCAAAAGTTGTATCTCCCGGGACGGATTCTTCCTCCACTCGACTATTTGTTCCGAGTAAATGGGAAACTGTTGATCCTGCAACTGTGGAATCCCAAGCGGTCACAACAACTAGTCGCTGGGAGCTTCTAACTGATGACGCACCGACACAACTCACGGAACCCAATAATCACGTTCGCGGTGTTCGGGAATCTGGTATGGAGCGTTCGGTCAAGCTTGGTCGATGGGACGATCTATCGCAGAACTCCACAAATGATGACGAGCTGGATGGCCAGTAAGTTGACGTCTCGTTTCCATCTTCATTACACAATGATTTAACTGCTTTCCATTTCAAGTTTAGTCGTGATTACGCCTTTTGTTTATTTCCTCCGTACCGCCTAGTCTTCCCTTGTACGGTTCTCCCCTCCCCCCGTCAATAAGAATTTTGGTGATGCGGCATTATTTCCATTGCAGTCGTCTTTCGTATGAGCTCCCTTCGGAACTACGTTGCTTAGTGCACTCTACACCATGAGGGGCTTTTTCTTCGCTGTCGACTCAGTTTTACTAGTTGACTGGCACATTCTGTCACCCTGATAAACTCTTCTCAGCTGGAGTTGGTTGGACCGATAGTTGAGATAATCGTTCACGCGCCACACCGTTCTTTGGAATGTGTTATGGTAAAAGTGTTAGGTTTTAAACCAACAACCAGTTAGCACACGATGTTTATCATATTACGAATGGCTGCAACTGTTTTGTAGTTTCTTGTTCGAGTTTATCAAGTCCGCACGGGAGTTTCTTGTTTAGATTGATAAACACACGCTGAACTAGTATTTCATGGCGTGCGTGACTTATATGTCTGAATCACTCTCCTGCGTTGTGTAGCTTCTGATACGTCCTTATTAGTTACCTTCGTTAGACAGAACGCTCGTCAAGATAACATTTTGTTATCTCCTAGTGTTCTCTTACGTGAAGCCGAGAATGGGGTACTCGTTCACTGTTTTTCCCCCAAAAGATGTGCATGAATCTTCCGGTTGAATATCTCCCCTATGCTTTCACCATGCATTCTAATGTGGTTCCAACTCGGGAGTCAATCTTTTCTTGGTTTAAGACCACTTACAGGTATCGGTGCCTTGGTGGCTTATGATGATGAAGATGCTCTGAGTCCTGTGAGTAGTGGATCCGCAGACTCCCCAGCCCTGTCTGCAATACCGTTACCTCCTTCAGCAAGCACAAACACAGTATCCAAGTCAACGTCAAGCTCCGGTGTGACCACATCAACGGCATTGTCCGAGGAGCGTCGTCCAATGCTGCGGGAGCTAGANAACGGCATTGTCCGAGGAGCGTCGTGCAATGCTGCGGGAGATAGAATCGAAAGTTCTCAAGTATCAAGACGAACTTGAGGCCACTCGTAAGGGCGATAAATCCATCACAGAAGAGGCGATTACCAAGGCGAGTGCTTTTTCTCAAATCGATAACATTTCATCAAATTCTCTCAGTAATACTAAAGTCATTCAAATGATTTCTTGCCCACTAGGAAGCCCAAGTTAGAACAGGCATCTGAGTGAAGGAATTCTTTTCAATATATGATTAAACCCAGGTATGTTTGTGCGTTTGAAAGAAAAACATCCATGGACATATAACTAGTCGGCCGTAACAAAAAGTTAACCAGTTAACCCAAGCAGGACTAGATCTCTGGTAGCATTCGGGTTAGACTTTTCTTACAGATCTCTTAGAATGGTCAATCGCACTTGTCCTGTCCGTTGGCACGTGGTGTCTGTGCCGCTGCAGTATCTGGACGGAATGCTTGTAGGAGCAAAGTTCTGGCTTATGGGTGCGGATGACGGCAGCTTCAGCAGTGTTCAAAGTTTCATGTTTTTGCCATTTTCGTTAGTTTCAGACAGACCGCTTAGATGATTTAAAGGTTTGTAAGAATATTCACGCTGGACACCATTATCTACTAGGCCTTCCGCCAGCCAAGATGGCATATCTTCAAGCATTCCTTTAGCTAACGTTTTCATCTGGCCGACAGTGAACCCCTCGGGAAGAAGCACTGAAGTGACGAGGGGGTCGGTTACTAAGTTAATATAAGTCATGGAATACCGTCGTGATTTTTTATTTATACTTGGTCAGCAGACCTTGAAGACGTTTTTTGTTCATTGTACTTCGCAGCAAATCCAACGCTATCGAGAACGTCTTCTCGAGCGGTTGCAGGAAGATGATCAACTGTCCTGTGTGCCTAAGTCAAAGAACTTATCGGATTCAAAGTTGAAACCCTCGAATGCTAGAGAGAGGTCTAATGTGGGTTCTTCCATGCAATCATTGTCTTCGAAGCATCCTCGGAGGGATCATTCCATCTCACCCCCTGCATCTCGAGACTCGCGTGATCGGTCACCTCCGCGTTCTTTCCGTGAAAATGATCGTCCCCGTCGACGTCCACCTTCTCCCACCAGTCCGGACGCCAGTTCGGAAAATGAGGCTTACGATAGCTCTCCTCTCCGAAGTCTTCGCAATCCTTCAGTTCCATCTACGGATTCACCCTATAGACGTGATGCCGATGACGTCACGAGACGGCCACGATTAAGTGCTTCGGACGATGCTGAGCGGCAGCGGAATTCCCATGGCAGTTCTCAGAGAAGACTTCCCATACCATCCGAGGAGTTGGAGGAAGGTGAAGCTAGTGACGATGAAGATTTCGGTTCTACTTTGGCACAGCGCATGCCGTCGAGACGTAAACATCATGGACGAGATGATACTCACGGTTCCACAAGTCCAAAGACAGTATGTTTCTCAATTTCATGTGGCATGATAATCCTAAACCCACCAGTTTTACTTTTACTTATCCGCAATCAATGACGCTAATTAAGTTGACCGTTATTTCATTAACTGTGTCTCTAGGTCCACGATAGAGCATCCCGAAATGGATGACCCATTGCGACCACATTCGCTAGCTTTGCCTAAGTGGGACTGGCAATGCTGACCTCGTCATTCATCCTGCTTGCTTACAATGCAAAGTTCAGCTTTGGACTGTGGTTAGACACTGGGTTTTGTGTTCGGGTTGATGATGAAAGCAAATCTTTCAATTAGCACAAACTCGACGAACGCCATGCAGATAAAAATGGGAGCTGTCAATCAGCGTTCATAAGAGAGCGAGTCCAAATACAAAAGTTTAGAGAATAGGAGAAAGGACTTACAAAACGTTCCAAGATTGTTCGTATTCAAAACCGCTTTATTAGCTTACAACAGCCCATCTCTGTCGATTTTAGATGTCGACAGTTGAAAAGTCGAGTCTGCGGCTGCTTCACTGGTTGTGCGATTTTTATAGTCGGTCGGGAACTAACCGCGAACGCGACGTTGCAGTGAAATACGACTGTTGAGTTACCAGTGGTTTGCCAGCAGTCGTAACAGAGCGCCAAGTGTTATCAGCTATACGAGAGAGAGATTTTGACCGACCCCTTGAGTAGCACCTCTAAAATCAGGGATTCCTCGGCTGAATCGGACATCCTACTAGTTTCTCATAGTTCACTGGTCGGACGGTCTCACATTCCAATGTTCATCATTTCGAACTCCGAGGGAGAGTCAAATAGTCGAACCATGATTCAGGGTTTCGCTTATTTAACCATACCTAGTAGGCTTCGTTTAGCTCTACTTTAGCACCTTTTCGTCTCACAGTTACCAAAAAAACTCAAGAAACGGCAGTGCTGCAAACCTGCACAAAGCCGGACAAGGACATCCATAAACGGTTTATTCCGAACGTCGAACGTATCGGTGACCAGCTGGTATCCTGACCACTACACTCTGAAGCTTTAAGTTATAGGTTTATTGTGAACGCGTCTTGAATATCTACAACTTTTACGTCTGGACTTCACTCCAGACTGTACAAAGTTCCTCACTTGACTACCTAACGTGACGGCCTTTTTGCGTTCAGGGAAAATAAAAATAACCTACCGAGGTTAAGAGTTGGGGAACGCATTTACGGAGGAACCCAATAGCATAATGACCTTCTTGGAGAGCTCGCTTGGTACGGAAACCGAAGGTACTATGTATTAATTAAGGATACTGCATAAAGCTTTCACGAAATATGGAGCAATTTAGTGCATTTACTGAGTGGATTTCGGGCTGCTTCAGGATGATAAGACCCATAGTCTCGACCTGTCATTATGATGACCGATAACGACGTTTTGACCGTATGTTCACCACTCATGCATGCACACATTCGTTCAGAAAGTAGTGTACAACAAAACTAATCTAGTGAAAGTGAATGTAGCTGACAAGTTACTCAGGAGTTTATTTACAATAAACAGCGTAATGCATCTTGGTGTGAACATCTCAGATCCCAAGAACTATCGTTAGAGCGCATCACCCCAACGCACCTTGGGAACCGAGAGTTGGTATTTTCAATTGCTTGAGACTTGTTGTTAGGTGGAATTCCACACCTACACCGATTTATCACTCACGGTTATGCGCTGCTACAGCAAAGTAGCCTATCCCGTACGCGGTTGGCCAAAAGATCGGGCCTCTTTACCGCTCCAGCATCAAGACGAGCTCCGATTAACCGAAAGTTTGGACCCAAGGCCAATCACGATCCAGTATCCGCCGAATGCTGATTGCCAGTGGCGCATTCTGGCTTCATAATTTCCAGAATGTTGTCGCCACATACACTGTATGGGATGCGCTGTATATGTGTTCTTCTACTTGTTCTGGGCGTTAAATACACTCCGTGCCCCTTTGCTGGTAGTTTTGAGGGGGAGGCTAGCTTGGAAGCTTCAGACCGAGAACTAGGCAGAAATATACCGTTATTACCCTCGTCTAAGATAAAAGTTACGACTTTTTGATGATTTGTCTCTGCTTTTCACACTATTCAGACGCGAAAACGTCACCGTTCACGTACACCCAATTCCGTTGTCGACGCACGCCATGCTTACCGGTCAAGAACCCCATCACCAAGTCGAAGACGGTCCGAACTTTCTGCAGGAAGTGCTAATCGACGTAGGAAGAAATGATCATGTTTTTGTAGAAACTAATCCATACAGTTCAGCCTTTGGACTGTCCTATGTACAGAATCCCTACTTGGTCACCAAATTCCGTGTTCCCTTTTATTTCATGCACTTACGCTGCATTTACTTGTTCAGTGGTTTACGGGCGCTCGAAGTCTGATTCCCCGCCAAAGCACTCAAGAGGTTCCCGTAGCAACTAATCTGGTTGTTTGTAAATTCTGGTGGTTATTAATGAGTGAATCGTTTGTCGTTTCGACGATGCTGTAATCATTGAGTGCAAGTACTGAGTTACTTAATAAACTCATCTTTTGAGCATATACTTTTATCCCAAGAATCTGGCCTCTGGGACACCCCGGTTTCATTTTTGCAAAGTGGAAATGCTTCATTGGTTGTCTGTTGATGAGGTTCGTTTAGAAACGCCCATGAGAACGTTCCGCCAACCGCTGATAAGAGCTGTCTATTGTGTTAGGTTACGCCCCAACAGATACTCTGGCAGTCTTATAGACAGCATTAACGACTTTGCAGCGTTCCAAGAGCTCATTGTTGTGGTTGCCGGAATGCACAACTAGGAAGGCTTAGCGCTGCTGAAGCTCATTTGCATCCAGAAGTACGCCTGCCACAGATACTGTCCAAGGACTGCTTGGCCACACGGTGGTCCCCGCAAGCTAGCCATCCACCAGCACAGAAATGCCACGTAATTGGCTATAGGTAGCGTGAGCCGATTTCTGATTTCGCTCGTTCTCATTCTGGCCAAGCGTCCTTTGGTTACTGATTCACATTTTGCTATTCTAGGACGCAAAATGCGCACTTACCGTAGCCGTTAAGATGCTACCAGGCCCCTGCTGAACGCTATACTTATTTCGGAATTTTCGTTAGTTCTAACATAGTCGCTTTCGCCAATTTGCTACACTTGTGGCTTCCGAAGGCGTACCACTGGACCTCGAAGAACTCGCGGATCAGGTTACAATGCATCCGTCTTGTCGCACGACTGCGGAACTCGTGTGGAGTATTTGATACATCTTCAGGTCTTTGATCATCGATGTCGCAGAAGTGTGGCTGGAATCAGCCGAAACCAGTACGTGACCTAGAGCTGTCATCATCATGGAGAGCATGACATCAGTGTTCAACACTGGTGCTTCGCTGCCGTACAACCATGATGATATACTTGAAAGCCTGAAGAAAACAATAAAGGTGGACAGTGAAGAAACTTTGTGCTAGCTGACTGCAATCGTTATGAAGTGCCTGCATCTCCAGAGCGAAACTAACAGCACGAACGCCGTTGACATCGATTAGCAGTCATATCCTGCTGCGTAATCTTTTCTTACCCCTCATAGGTCAAGGTTTGGCCACCTCTGTTTCCGCCACTCTGAATTGGACGCTGAAAACAGCACTCTTTTCGGCAAACAAGGGTTTGGCACACGTGATCCAATCAACGAAGTCTCTGGTGTTGGACACATTCTTTAATAGAAGTTCCCGTTGCACAACCGAAAGCTTTCTAATCGCCCCGTTACGGACTCTCCGACCACACGAGCTATGGTCCTGAGACAAAGGTTGCTGAACGTCTAAAGATTTCTCGAACAGGCCAAGTTTGACAGCCATAAAACAAAACAGGTCGCACCGTAGACTGGTACTCACATTCCCTTGAGATTCAGGGACCGGCTCCTGTGCTGCGACTATACTGACTGGAACTCAGTTCCTAAAGCTTCACCAATGTCACGGAGACCAATGCGGAGCAACCCAACGAACAGTCAGTGATAGTATCACGAGGAACCTGTGGGTACTGTTCTCTGTGATAGGAGTGTGAAGGCAAGAAGGCATTTGCCCCAGGCGACCAGCATTTCCATTCTTCTGTGGACGGATACGAGGATATGGCAAGCTATTGCCTTGATCCACTACGTCGAGTGGTGTAAGACAAGACTTCTCTCTCTCCTTTCCTCTTCAACTTTGTTATTGTCGTCATGCTGTAAATTTCTCTGCCTGCTGCTAGAATGTCGGGTCGAAATGCTCCCGGGACGTTCCCTCACAGACATTGAGTATTCAGACGATATTGCTCTCCTTGGTTCAGTTCCTTCAAAAATGCAAACCATTTTAAATTGCCTAAACGGCTGCTCCCGCACGGTTTGGCATTCGCTTCGCACCTGAAAGGTGTAAAGTGTTATCACAATATTTAGTGGGATCAAACCCAAACCTCACGTTTGCAAGTGAGGCGACCGATGTGGTAGGTAAATGTCTATCTAAACGGTTATATAAGTCCAGGCGAATTGGCTGGAAATGGGGTTGCTTCCCGGATCGGTAAGGCTATTAGTGCACAGTTAATGGTAGTCATGATATAACTCTGAAGGTGTGTGCATTAGACACGGTTCTTACTGGGGTTGACAGTGGTTTACAATGGCGAGTTGGGCCGTGTATAAAATGCGAAAGATAAGAGTAATCCAAAAGGTGACTTATCGTTTGTGAGACTTCCTGGGTGAAAGTCCGGACGAGAGGAACGTGTTTTCTCTGCAGTAAGGCTGCTCCCCGAGTTCCGTAATTGTCCGTGGACTTGAAATATTCGGTTTACTCCTTCGCTGCGCACGCGTAAATGTGATGGCTTTTCGTGTCTTCCCATATATAGGAAGGTTTGGCGTGTGTATAGCTCCTAGAACCGTTCCGACGCGCACACGATGGATACTAACCTGTTGGTCTAGGTTGCGAGGGAGACGGGGTTTGTCTCGTGATTTATGTTTGCGGAACTAAGGAGTTGCGTGGTCTAGTGCACAGGGATGCACTAGACAAATTAAGCGAAGTTGGTTGAGGGAACAAGGAAGTGATGGCTACAAGGCCAAGGGAGTTTTCTCTAACCTCTACCGCCCATGGTGCCAACCCGACGTCAGTTTGTCTCTCAAGGGTGGGGTTTACAATGCGACAGTGCGGGCCATATCGCCTCGTGGGTCAGAAACCTCACCTCGGAGCGCAGAGGACGTACAAAGGTTGTGGGTGTTTGATCATCGGTGTCTGAAGCATTGGCTTGGTTTCTTGGGAACAACTGACTAGTAATGATGAAGTACGCCATATGGCCCTAGGAAGAACGAACTCCTACGTTAGGTGAATAGCTCACCCTTCATATGCTGGATAGAACATATACTCCGTGTGCCGGGAGACCGACTGCCTCGAGGAGCTCTTTCGGCCAGCCTTGTGATGAGTGGAAGCTAGAGGGGTGGACAGTCTGTAACCTGGCAACGAAGTATGAAAGCACTAACCAGTAAACTCAGTCGGGTCGACAACATCCGCCTCTCTGGATGGGACCCTGCGGACCCAACTCACTAGATAGAACTGGCTCAGTCGAGCAGTCAGTGATGCTCGTGCACCAAAGCTACTGCCTTCAATGCGTGGTTCCCCGCCCCGGAACTAACTGAACATGTCATCACCTGCGACGTTTGGCTGTGTCCCATGTTCTGTCAATTTCCGGTGGTTGGAAATGTACTGGCTGGAACCAATGTGCCTATGGTGCAAGGTATATTGCTGGTAAATTAAATTAAATTGAAACAAGTAAATTCGTAGTGAGTTGATTAAGGACTGGGACCTTTTTGAGGGAAAGGTACTTCACTCAAGGACCACATCCAGCCCTGCAAACCGAGGTAGCTGGAGCGTGTTCTACGCGTGCCTAGTTACCTTCTTTCGAGAAGAGCGCTGTTTCCCGTATCCGGTTTGAAGTGTCGGAAATCTAGATGCTCGCAGAATATGACGCGGCAGAAAGAAATGAAGGGTATGGAGAAATGTTTGGGCGCCGTTGGTTCTTTTCACGTGCCAGCATGTAGCACGCATGACCCTTGTTCTTAACTGGAGACCCTGAACAATGTAGTGGTTAGCCGATTCTAGCGGCCTTCATGCTTTCCGTACCTATACAGGTAGTTTGGTTGAATGTCTGGACGGACACCTTGGATGCCTTTGATAGCCTGGTCCTACATCTACTTCCCCATCTCATTTCCACTTTAGGGCCTCATTTACGTTTCTTTTTGGTTCTCATCAAACCTTACTTTGACAAGAAAAAATGTTATGACACCCTACTCGAAATTTACCTTGCCTCCGGCCAGGTGGCGTCGATTTCCGTTTTCCAACCACAATACCCTGCGAGGCTTCGGCAAGTCACAAGACTACCGGGCCGGGTGTCGCTTGAGTATTGTAATTTGGAGCATGCTCATCTGATTCTCTTAAGGGGAATAAAGAGGGGACTCGTCTCCCTAGGCGTCCACTGCTTCAATTAAGATGATATCAACGACAAAGCTAAGTACTAAGTCCATCTGAGTACTGTGCCGATGCACTTGTTTTCGACGTTGGTTACGGATTGTGGGATGATGTCATGTTTCATTCGGATTCATTTGGTTCTTCTATAGTTTTTTGGGAGGCCAACTGAGGTTTCCCTCATAGTCAGTCAATTGGAAAATGTTTGGGACTGGCTGAGTAGTAATCGTTTCAGAGGTTTGGTAAACAACTAATCCACCGTTGTTTGCCCAAATTCTCTGAAAGTGTTTTCTCTGAGGTGTTTAGCTCGTCGTCTAGTACAGCTATCTTTTGAATGCATGACCGCAAATGGTTCCACTATCACCCGTCTTTTGATTGAAGTAACAAAAACGGAGTGCCGCTCTCGCCTGCGGCAAAAATAAGGGACTTCACAGTCCACCAGTCTTTTCTGTCATTCATGAGGCTTTTGATTATCCTGTGCTTGAAGGACCCACATGTGCCATCGTGGTGGCTAGTTGCTAGTATTGTTTCCCTGGCTTCAATTAGGTCAGATGATCCTGATGAAATCGTGTGCTCATTTGGTCGGATTAAATGGCTTGGGAGACTGTTTAATATGTTCAAAACGTGTTCACTCCTGTTCCTTGTATAGCCAGTCTCGTCATGAGACGACGTTCAGGACCAAAATTCGCTGATCGCTCTCCATTGCCTTATCACTGCCACCAATCTGTGCAACTTTCAGGCTTACTTGTCCAGCTTGGGCTTTCATATTGACCTCAAGGATGACCATCCGTTCTTGCTGGTCGCCGCATCAGAATAATCAGATACGGATGCATTGAAATGTGAGGTGCATGATCGTATGAATGTATGCACGATTCTTCCGGAGACACAGCGTCCATCTTCAGTTAGAAGAAGCGTTAAGTAATGCTACTGAATGGTCCAACTTGGAATAAATATTTTTGGCGAATTTTTTATGCTACAGAAGGGCCATTTAAACATGGAACAAGTATCAGGTGACTAGCAGGTCCGTTGGTTACAGTGGACCAGTTGGGTGGTTTGCGTGGCTCATGAGCAAAGAGCTGTGAGGACGAATGGTGCTGTCATGTTGATTAGGCCGAGGAAGGGGCTTGTTTAAT